ATAAAAGGAAATAATGAATAATGAAGAAAGAAAATTTTCCATTTTCCAATTTTTGTACTTTATCCATCCAATTCTCCCCTACGATAGAAGGAAAAAATGTTAAAAGAAATAAATTAATAACAAGGCTTAATGCCACTAAAAATCCCTAAACTTTGCAAAATGAATCATTATCATCCTTTTACCTTAAAAAATTCATTAAAATCCCTTAACTTTGGAAAAAGAGCAATCATCATCCCTCCGTTAAGTGCCGTCATAACGCCATCCATTTCTCGGTTGAACGCCTTAAAAGTTTAATGGTAAATTAAAATTGTTGGTCCCTTAACTTTTAGTTCTTGTGTATTTGATACTCAAACTTTAATATTCAACTTTTTCAAATATTAATGAAATTAAAGCTAATACAGTAAACTAAAATACATAAAATTCGTTTAAACAAAGTGAAAAATCAAGTTTTTGATACTCAATTTAGGATTTTTAAAATAAAGAAGGGACATTTAACTATTTGCAAGCATATAACTAATATATATATATATAAGAAGAAAAGAAAGAAAAAGAACAATATGATCAATAAAAAGTTAAAAAGAAGATATTTACCTTCATTTTTTTGTTATACATTCTTAATCATAAAAACAATACCCAAAGTTTCAATTAAGTCATCTATGATGCTCATGTGACGACATTTACTCCACACTCACTAGTTATATCCACGTTATTTACAACTTCATCATTTTGATTGTAATACTTCACAAAATTTCAAATTTGGTATCAAAGATTTGTTTTTTCACATTAGTGATATGAATTTTTAAATATTTTAATTTACTACTTTTACCTTGATTTTATTAATATTTAAATAAGCTGAACATTATTTTATTGAAAGTTATATGATTTTTATTATTTGTCTAAAAAAGAACTGAAATGCATGAAATTAAGATTGCACAGCTATAATTATTAATGGGTATGGGTCTTCCTCCTCAAAATTAATGGTTAATTTGCTGAGTTGTATTCTTAATCTTATCTATAGGGGTAATTCTGCAATTACACTTTTAGGCGGCTTAAAATTTTAAAAAGAAAAAAAAATCAGTTTTTATGTAAAAGAAAAAAATCAGAGGATAATGGGCCCCACTAAAAAATCACAATTGGTAAAAATTACTTACTTGGCAACCAAATTCATTTTTTATGGTAACATTTATTTCCATAAAATGACGATATTAAGGAAACTCTATCATAACCTTACCAATTTCATGGAGTTTTGGTATGTCAGCGGAGAAACTATTGGAACAAATTGTATCAAGAAGAAGATGGATTATTTCAAAAATGAAAATACTATAATTATAATATCATATAATATTATAAATTTATAGTATGATTATTATTACATAATTAGTCTTTTTTATTTAAGTGTTTACTAGTGATATTATCTATATCTATTTTACCAATTTCATGGAGTTTTGGTATGTCAGCGGAGAAACTATTGGAACAAATTGTATCAAGAAGAAGATGGATTATTTCAAAAATGAAAATACT